GTTCAGCAGCCAGGGGTGAGGCTTCCTTGGCAAGGTCCGAGGGAGGGAAGCTCTCCCCCTCCAGGTGCCCGCGGGGGCCCCCCCATTATGGATCCCAGCCTCAGGTCCATTCGCTGAAGAAGACCAGGTCCTAAGTTGCCCTGATGGGGAGTGGTGGGTGGATCGGGTCTCTGATGCTCTTGTGCCGTTTCCTTCAATCTAGACTGGCACCCTGACGGAAGACGGCCTGGACCTCTGGGGCACCATCCCTTGCCAAGGGGGCAGGTAGGACCCGCCCGCCCCAAGCCTGGTCCCAGGGAGTGGGTTGTCAAGGGAGGCAGGGCTCTCCTGCCCTTGCGGGAGGGCCCATGGCTCAGTGGAAGAGCCCCTGCTTGGCATGCAGGAGGTCCCAGGTTCAGTCCCCGGCGGCATCTCCAGTTCTCAAAAGGACCAGGCAGTGGGGGATGAGAACGACCTTTCTCTGCCAGAGACCCCCGAGAGCGGAGCCGGTCTGAGTGGATGAGACGGACCTTGATGGACCGAGGCGGGTCTGGTTCAGGGGCGGGCGGCTTCATTGTCGGTGCCTGCGTGTTTTAGACTATCATCAGGCACTGTTTTTCAAGATCAGGAAGCCGGAAGCTTCGGAGTGCAGACCTACATTCCACCCCCAAGAGTGGGACTGAATTCTAAACAAGAATCATAGAATCAGTCGGAAGGGTTCCATACAGACCACCATCTAGTACAACCCCCTGCCCAATGCATCACCTTAAAGCATCTCTGACCAATATTCATCCAGCCTCTTCTTGAAAGCTGCCAGTGAAGGGGAGCCAACCACCTCCCTGGGCAGCTGATTCCACCTGTGAACCACTCTGACCGTGAAAAAGTTTTCCCTAATATCCAGCCGATACCCTTTCTGCATGTGATTTAAACCCGTTGCTTCTGGTCCTGTCCTCTGCTGCCGACTGGAACAGCTCCTTGCCCTCCTCCAAATGACAGCCTTTCAGATACTCAGAGAGCAATCATGTCCCCCCTCAGTCTCCTCTTCTCCAAACTCAACATTCCCAAGTAGTCCCTTGGCCTTTCCTCGCAGGGCTCAGTCTCCAGACCCCTAATCCTCCTCGTCGCTCTCTTCTGCACCCTCTCGGTTTTGCCCACGTCCTTTTTGAAGTGAGGCCTCCAGAACTGCACACAGGACTCCAGGTGCGGCCTGACCAAGGCAGTCTATACAGAGGGGCTATATGACCTCCTGCGATTTTGACACACACTCCCCCCCCACACCCTCTTTCCCCCCATTAGTAAAAAAATCAAAAGCAGCTGCCTGAGAATGTTTGAGTGGGGCCGGGGTGCTTGCTTAGCCTTTCCCCCCTCTGGCTGTGCCCCTGCTCAAAAGGCAGCCTGCCTCCGCATCCGCCTGCCATCTCCCTTCAGAGGGAAAGGTACCTGAGCCTGAAGCCACAGGGGACCAGGATTTGGAGCAGGATTAGTGTGGCCAGGGAGGGGCGCAGGTAACTGCATGCCCCTCTCCTTGGAGGCCGGATCCTCCCTCAATCGATGTATTCCGGCCTTTGCCCAGAGCGGGCAAGAAGATCTGGCAGGTGGCCCGAGACCCCTCTGCTGTTCCTATTTTTATTATTATTATTATTATTTGCCCTCCCAGCCAAGGGCGGCTCAGGGCGGCTTACACAAATTCAACACATAATTACAGTAAAACATAATATATAAGTTAGATTAAAACAATTCTAAAACCCTTTAAATCGCAGTATAGTAGATAGTGACTGCAGACGGTGATGGCAGCCATGAAATTAAAAGACACCTGCTCCTTGGGAGGAAAACATTGGCAAACCTAGACAGCATGATAAAAGGTAGAGACATCTCCCTGCCAACAAAAGTCTGCATGGTCAAAGCAATGGTATTCCCAGTAGTCATGTATGGCTGCGAGAGTTGGACTATAAGGAAGGCCGAGCGCCGAAGAATACATTCTTTTGAACTATGGTGCTGGAGAAGACTCTTGAGAGTCTGCAAGAAGATCAAATCAGTCAATCCTAAAAGAAATCAACCCTGACTGTTCCCTGGAAGGCCAGATCCTGAAGTTAAGAACATAAGAACATAAGAGACGCCAATGTTGGATCAGGCCAAAGGCCCATCCAGTCCAACACTCTTCTGTCACACAGTGGCCAGAAATACCAGGTGCCACCAGGAGGTCCACAAGTGGGGCCAGGACATTAGAAGCCCTCCCATTGTTGACCCCCTCAAGTTGAAGCTCAAGTACTTTGGCCACCCAATGAGAAGGGAGCACTCGCTGGAGAAGACCCTGAGGCTGGGAAAGGCCGAAGGTCAAAGAAGACGGGGATGGCAAAGGATGAGATGGTCAGACAGTGTTATCAAGGCAATTAACATGAAATTAAGCAAACTCCAGAGCACGACGGAAGACAGGAGGGCCTGGCATGAGGTGGTCCACGGGGTCGCAAAGAGTCGGACTTGACTGTGCGACTGAACAACAGCAACAACATAGTAAAGTGCTGTGACATTGATTTCATAACGGCTGCTGTTATTCAGTTCTATTGTCTCACAGTCGGCCCCGTCGATCTTCTTTAGTTCTCCTTCCAGCGGTTGGCTCAGGCTGTTTTTGGAATTCCAAAAGGAAACAGGGCTCTCTAATCTCATGTGTCAGTTCTTAAGGGTAGTGGCAGCTCCAAAAGCCTGGCGGAAGAGCTCCGTTTTACAGGCCCTGCAGAACTGCAAAAGATACCACAGGGCCCTGATCTCCTCGGGGAGCTCGTTCCACCAGAGAGGAGCCACCACCGAGAAGGCCCTGGCCCTGGTTACTGCCACCCTGGCCTCCTTTGGACCTGGAAGGGCCAGTCGGTCCTGGGCCCCTGATCGCAGTGCTCACTGGGGTACATACCCTTGGGTTCGTAGGACCCTGGCCTATAGGGCTTTAAAGGTAAGAACCAGCACCTTGGAGCAAATCCAGTATGCTATTGGCAGCCAGCGCAGTGCCTTTAGTACAGGTCCAGCTTCCGCCTGACCTTGGGAGAGACCACATCTGGGTACAAGTCGGAGGGGATCCCCCTCCAGGTCCTGCAGATGGCTGAGCCTGGTCCCGACCCATGTCTCATGAGGCCTTCTCCTGAATCAAGGCAAGGGTCTGAGGCAAAGGTCTTTTATGACACCAGCTGCCTGGTTCTTTTACCTGGAGATGCTCACGGGGATGGAACTGGGGCCCTTCTGCATGCCAAGCAGAGGCTCTGCCCCTGAGTCACGGCTGGGGTTGCCAGCTCTGGGTTGGGAAACCCCTGGAGGTTTTGGGGGTGAAGCCTAGAGAGGGGAGAGGTTGGGCAGGGGAGGGACCACAGCATGGCACAGTGCCACAGAGCCCACCCTCCATGGCAGCTCTTTTCTCCCGTGGAATCGATCTTTGTGCTCTGGAGGTCAGTCACAAAAGCGGGGGATCTCCGGGCCCCTCCAGGAGGCTGGCAACCCAGTAGTGGCCCTGAGAGGCAGGGGCCGCGTGGGGCCCCTTTCCCTGGCTCGTAGGTGCAGTGGTGGTGGGGGAAGTGGCTTCCCCCGAGCATTTGGCCTGGGGAGGCCTGAGAGCCTGTCTGTTGGGCGAAGGAGGGCGAGAGCAGCCGTGCAGCCTGGTAGAGCCCCCCCCCAAGCTCCGCCAGCTGCATCCTTGGCCTGTGGGCCAGGCAGGGTGGGACTGCCTCCTCCTCTGCGCCAGGGCCTGGATCCAGCCCCAGGGCAGCCGGCCGGCAGAAAGTGCCTTTGTCCCTCCTGCACGTGTGAACGGCTCTCGCGACAGACACCCAACGCTCCTGGCACCAGTTTCCCAGGGAGGCATGGAGCCCAGCCAGGCGCAGCAAAGACTGACCCAGCAAGCGCCCTCTCCCTCCTGGCATCGGATGGATGGGCTTGAGGAGGAGGAGGAGGAGGAGGAGGAAGACCACTTTCCTGACGATCTGGCACAGGGCAGGGAGACGATGGCTCTGCGGGGAATGTCAATCCGAAGACGTTTACTTAGCACGCTGCCCCACCCAGCCTCCCAGCCAGCGGGCCCAGCCCAGCTCTCCGACGGGCTTCCTGCCAGCCCAGGCTGTGGGGCAACCCACCTGGCCCTGCTGCCCCACAGATGCCCCTGTGTTTCCGTGGCACCAGCTCCTAGACTCTGTGCAGACTCTGCGTGCCTCCAGGGTAGGCCGCTCATTGGCACGGCGTCCCTGAGTGCTGACGAAAGTCTTCCCTCTGCCGCGCCACCACCCAACGCAGCCCCTCCGCTTCTTTCTCTCAGCTTCCAGAAGGCCCACTGTTTCTCCTCCGGCTCGCCCTTGCCCTGGGGGCCGCTGTGCCGTGCCATGGCCACCTGCCACTCGCTGCTGGTCCTGGAGGGGAAGATCCAGGGAGACCCGCTGGACCTGAAGATGTTCGAGGGCACCGGCTGGGTGAGTCTCCGTCGTCGTCCCTGAGGGAAGGAGAAATCGGTCGGGTGGAGGAAGGAAAGGAGCCCCAAGCATGGGCCCTCCCTCCCTCCCTCTCTCTCTCTCTCTCTCTCTCTCAGACCTTTGGGCAGGGCAGGGTGAGAGAGCGAGGGTTAAGGTTTGGGTTGGGGGGGCCATGTGCCTCTGTTCAGCAGTGCTGCGACATGCACTGCCAAGTATCAGGGAAGAAGTAGAGCTATGCTGGATCAGGCCAAAGGCCCACCAAGTTCTCTCAGAGCTGTTCTCTCAAGAGCAGTCCTTGAGAGTGCTCTCTCAGCCCCGCCTCCCTCACAGGGTGTCTGTTGTGGGGAGGGGAAGGGAAAGGAGATTGTAAGCCGCTCTGAGACTCCAAGTGAAGGGCGGGGTATAAATCCAATCTCCTCTTCTTCATCATGCTCTAGGAAGGTGCCCATGATGTGCCAGCAGATATGTGCTCAGCTGACTCACATTGGGTTGCCAGCCCCCCCTCGGGTCACCGTCAGGAGATAGGGAGATCCAGGTTGGGAAACTCCTGGAGATTTGGGGGTGGAGCCTGGGGAGGACAGGGACCTCGACGGGCTACCACGTCACAGAGAGCCCACCCTCCAAAGCCTCCCTTTTCTCCAGGGTAACTGATCTCTGTAGTCTGGAGATGAGCTGTAATTCCGGGGGATCCCCAGGCCCCACCTGGAGGGTGGCATCACTACAAAATGCATGATCCTTCTTCAGGGGTAATGTTGCCATTGCTGTTACCCACCTGTGGTCAAGTGCGTGATACAGAGAGTATATTATCACGCCCAGGGGTCATTTCGTGTAGGAGCGCACAGGAGCGGAGCTCTGGCAGAAAAGAGCCCAGGGGGCGGGTACAAGCAACAAGCCCCACCCCCTGCTCCCAGAAGCCCTCAGTCAGAGCAAGAAGCAGCCAGGTAAGTTGCAGAGGCCTCCCCCGGCCCCCCGGCCCAAAACAATCCAGTGGCACCTTTAAGACCAAGTTTTATTCAGGTACAAGCTCTCCCTCCTCTGCGAGGGCAGATCTGCACGTTCCTCCCCACCCCCAATAGCTAGCAATCCAAAACAGTCCAGTGGAGCCTGAGCAGTGGGTGTTGCCTTCTGACACACTTCTGGTGATGTCATGGGGTGTGGCATATGCAAATAAGCTATGCTAATGAGTTATGGTAATGAGCTCCTGCACTTTTTTCCTACAAAATGACCCCTGACCACGCCTCCACTGACACGTGAGCCTATGTTCAGACCAATGCTCCCTCTAAGCTATGGAGTCTTTTGAGCAAAAATTCCACTTGGTGAGCTCCTGGCATTAAAGTTGTGAGCGAGCGATTTGGCTGCTGCATAAATCAGTTTGCTCTGGAGCCCTCCTTCCTGAGCGAAGACAAAAATACGTGAGCTGGAGGCTAAAAAACTGTGAGCTAGCTCACACTAACTCAGCTTAGAGGGAACACTCGTTCAGACTAACACGGGGCATTCACTTGCGCATTTGAGCAGGGACTAGGAAACTGTGGTCTCTTCGCTAAAGAGGTAACAGTGAGTAGGAGATTTCAGTGGGAAAAGGACAGAAGAGTCCTGATTTAAAGGTCTTAGAGGAGGAGGATGGAGTTTATTGAGGGATCTGTGTGTGTGGGGGGGGCTTATAATAGGCAAATACCAGCAAAGGCTAAATCAAATCGCTGACAAACTGTACACTCCTTATCCACACTAATGATACAGCAACAGCCACCAAATGTCCATTGGAGCTACTCTAATTTTAAGCTAAAGGTGTAAATGTGGGGGAAATGGGGAAATAGGGCAGATGAGAAGTGGAATCTGTTGGGAGGGGCAGTGTGGTTTGGATGCAGAATAAAACAGGAGTCTCGCAGCACCGTAATGACTAACGTTTATTTAAGCAAGAGGCTTGAGTCAGAGCTCACTTTCCTTTATAGGGAAAATTAACGGACGGGGCAGAGAGAGGAGTTGAGGCAGAGAGAGGTTTCATGTGGATCCCGTCAACAGTCCAAGTGTAGTTTTCTGTGTGAAATGCCACCTTCGTATGCCCAAGGGGCTGCCACGTCCAGCCTGATGAATAGGGGTGGGCATGAACTGAACCACGAATCAAAATTCGTCACGAATTTTGCCCTGTTCGTGGTTTGCAAACCGATATTGTGACAAGTCTACCATCGCTGCGGCTGAATGTGCCTGCTCTAGCCTGCAGGCCCTATTCCACCCTGCCTTCCAAAGTTTTCCCAACACTTGGAGAGGCTTTTCTTTCTTTCCAGTAGCCCGCCACCACCACCTGACCTTTTGCCAGAATTATCCACTGGGAGGGTTTGGAGTCCCAGGTTCCCTTCCTATTTCTGAGGCCTTGCCTCTTTATAGATGTCCCCAGCACCCGGTCACCATGGTGACAGTTTACAGCCTTTTGCATCCATGGAGGAATAGCCACTTACCAACTGCCTGCCTTCCCCCGGCGCCCCTTTTAAAATAGTGAGTCTGAGATGGTGGAGGTCTGTGTGGTACAGAGAACCACCACCAGCGTCAAAAGTTACAAAGTATTTATTAAAAATAGATTTCTCCAAGATTGGGGACAGCTGGTGGTGCAAGGGGAGAGGGTTTCACCACGATACCCTTTGGCATGTGGTGTTCCCTCAAGGGGCAATCCTCTCCCCAATGTTATTTTAACATCTTTATGGGGCCCCTCGCTCAGCTGGTGCAGAGTTCTGGGCTAGGGTGTCACCAGATGTCTGGCTAGAAGCTGAAAAGCATCCAGGACTCCTTCACTGATCCCTATGCCTTTTTCTTTTTTGGCTTCAGGAGATGGAAGAGGCCAGTCCAGAGCACAGTAAAACTAGCACAGCTGATGAGCATACAGTAATTAAACCAGGACGAGATGCTTCCCAGGTATGCACTGAATCTTTCTCTGGAAAACCATTGCTGGGGTCTGATAAGCAAGCAATTTCAGTGGGCCTTCGGGAAAGGGCAGATTATGATTTTCGGGTAGGGGAGAACAAAACACTGGTAAGGACACAACAAGTGGAAACCTTTGAGGATGTGCAGACGGGATGATGGGGGGATGCAGCAAGACGGATTGGTGCATCTTATCCAGGATGGGGTGGGGGGGAATCTCTGGATGTAAACTGGCTTTCTAGATGTCCCCATGGAACTCTGGGAACTGTAGTTGTCTGAGAGTGCCCAGGTGCCTTGAAGAACTGTGACTGCCAGGATTTCGTGGTGGGATTTCTTAGGAGGAAAAGCAGGTGATATTTATTTATTAAAAATGTCTATTAGCCACCTTTCTCCTTTATGGAGCTCAAGGCGGATTTACCAACATAGATAAAACACATAGAATAAAATGCACTAAAAACAAAATTTAAAGTCACAATTTAGGGCTACTTCAATCAAATGCAGTCCTAAATAAAACCATCTTTGGCTGCTTTGTAAAGATCGAAAGCGGCCAGGTGCACCTCCCTGGGGACGTTGTTCTGTAATTGTGGGGCAGCCACTGAAAAGGCCTTTCCTTGTGTACCCCCCAAACGAGCCTCTTTGATTGGTGGGATAGTCAGGAGGGCCCCTCCTTCTTAACTCTGGGGGACGAACATACGGAAGAAGGCAGACCTCCGTTAGCAGAGGAGACGGGTGTGTCCAACTCAATATGTCTCCGTCCCACTTGCCTGCAGATCCTGGACGTAGATCTCCCTGTCCCTCTCCCTCCCCCTCTTCGCAGGCCTCCGTGGAAGGGATCGTGGTCTTGCACCAGTTTCCTTTCTCCTCCTCTCTCCAGAGGATGTCAGTCATTGTGCAGGAGCTGGGGAAGAACTCTTACGACCTCTACATGAAAGGAGCCCCGGAGATGGTGGCCAGTTTTTGCACAGCAGAGTCCGGTAAGGGCAGAGGGAGGGAGAGACCCAGAGGTGGGGCAGGCTCTGAGGGTCCTGGCCTGGTGCAGGTGAGGGCAGCTTTACACACTAGGTGTGCTGCGGTGAACACCGGAGAGGAAGAAGAAGAAGAAGAAGAAGAAGAGATTGGATTTATACCCCGCCCTTCACTCAGAGTCTCAGAGCAGCTTACAGTCTCCTTTCCCTTCCCCTCCCCACAACAGACACCATGTGAGGTAGGTGGGGTGGAGAGAGCTCTTTCAAGGACTGCATTTGAGAGAACAGATCCAATAGAACTTGTGACTGACCCAAGGTCACACTAGCAGCTGCAAGTGAAGGTGTGGGGAATCAAACCCAGTTCTCCCAGATTAGAGTCCGTGCTCCTAACCACTACACCAAACTGGAGGGTATCGCATACGGGGATGGCGCAGCCTCATTCCGGGTATATATGAGAGCACTGAGATATGTGTGAACATTTGCTGCGAGGCACAGGAGGGGACTGCGCTGTCACTGCCATGCACACGTGCAGCTGCCCTTTCGCTCCCTGGCTGCCTTTACGTCCCAAATCTTCAACTTTCTGTGATGCAACGGTCGTGTTTGTTTTGGATATCTGGAGCGGTTTCGTGGTCTTCTGCGTTGTTTTCCATGAGAGGCGTGATTGGCAAACGTGGGAGCCAAACACGGAAGAGGTGAGCAGCGCATCCAGCTGGGAGTCAAAGAATGAGCCGCAGTTATGAAACCCGGATGGATCCCAGGTTGATGAGTCACAGTAGCTCACGGTTGTAGGCGTGGCCTTCGTTGTGTCTCCGCAAACAGTGGTTTGCCAAACAGAGAACCAGTTTGGTGTAGTGGTTAAGTGCGAGAGGTTTGATCCCCCCCCTCAATGTGAAGTCTGCTGGGTGACCTTGGGCCAGTCACAAGTTCTCTCTGAATGCTCTCAGCCCTACCTGCCTTTGAGACTCTCTAGGGTAGAGAAAAGCGGGGTATAAAAACCAACTCTTCTTCTTCCTCCTCCTCCTCTCTCCAGGCCAGGTTTCATAGAGTGACACATCTTCTGATTCGCTCATTTGCTACCAAGATGTCCAGATGAGCCGACTGTTGTGATGAGGATCAGGCAGCCATTTCCCTTTCCTGGTTTATCAAAGAGGTGTAGAGAACCAGAGAGAGAGAGAGAGAGAGAGAGAGAGAGAGAGAGAACAAGACGGAGGGGGGGGGGGGGGGGGGGGGGGTGGGGTGGGGTCTGTCCTCAGGTATCTTCTGACAGGACAGTGGCCCCAGAGGCCAAGTCCCTTCTGGCTTCCTTAGCCATCCCTGGTGGTGAAAGAGACTCTGGCCCAGCTGCTCCCACCCCGAACAGGGACTCATCCAGGACAGCCAGGCTGCATGCATGGACGCACCAGGGGAACAGGTCCCGTGTGATTTTGTGACCCTCTGTCCAGCCTCCCTCCCCACTGCCGTGGGGCTTCTCTCTCACACAGGGATGGCTTCCTCTCCCCTCCACAGTTCCCAGGGACTTCCTCCAGGAGCTCCAAGGCTACACCTCGCAAGGCTTCCGCGTCATCGCCCTGGCACAGAAGGCGCTCGCCGTGGGCGAGGACAAGGATCTGGGTGACTTGGAAAGGTGAGGCCGGCCGAGAGGCTCCTGTGGCCAAGGACGAGTCGCCCGTCGGGGGCACGCCACGCCACGCCAGGCAAGAGCTCCGCTCATGGAGAGAAAGTTACTTAGATGCAGCTGAGTAGCTCATGCCATCTTATCCGGCTTAGGGTTAGGGTCTGGATGGGGGCCTTTGGTGCTGGCCAAGGGGCAGCTCATTCTTCCGCACAGTTTTGCTTCCACCCCCAATACCCCTCCACCCCAGGAGGGGCCTTTTTAGTCAGGGAAATAGCACCAGAGGGGATTTAACGTGCAACGGCCCTGATCCGTCGGGCCTCCACCGCTCCCATGGCTGCTTTTTCAGTCCGTCAGTGACTGGAGAGGTTCTGCTGTCAGCCTCTGCTTCTTTTTCGGAGGGGCCAGCCGTCTTGGCACTGCTGTGAGTAGCCGCACGGGAGCGAAGCCAGAGCCGGGGTGGCGGGATCTTGGCCTCGGTGCCCCGCGAGCTCACAGCACAGCATGTATCTGTCCCCTGTGGAAGTGACCCCTCCTGTCTTTCCTTTTGGCCCGCCCTAGGGAGGAGGTGGAATTTGGCCTGAACTTCCTGGGCCTGCTGGTCATGGAGAACCGGCTGAAGAGGGAGACCGAACCGGTCCTGGAGGAACTCACGGCCGCCCGCATCCGGACCGTGATGGTCACAGGTACCACAGTGTGTGTGACAGTCAGAAACTCTGAAGCCATGAGAGGAAAGATTCTACCCACCCACCCACCCACCCCAGTTTCCCCCCGGTGGGGGGGGAATGAAAATTTTAGAAAATCTGAAATACATTCACTGCTTAGTTTCTTATCAAACCTAAATTAATTGTGTTACATCAGCAACATGAAATGCATCAGATTTCTATAAGCAAAATTGCAAATATAGCTCATACTTGAGAGAGAGAGAGAGAGAGTGCAAATGGCTGCACTTGGTGTCACTTTAGCAGATTGCCTTAATTTTCGCCATCTGAGACACAGGAAAGATTAAAAGCTGAAGTTATTATTTCAATTTTGCTCAGAAACCATTTCATATAATGATAGTTAGGGACTACCAGCCTATCTGGATATCATATTTAAAAAAACACTGAAGTCTTTATTAGCATCAGGTACACTGCAGCATATTAATTGATGCCATAATTACTCACAATAAACGTAATTCTGAAAATATATTGTATTCAGATTCAGGTGGGTAGCCGTGTGGCTCTGAAGCGACAAAATAAAGTGTGAGTCCAGGGACACCTTTAAGACCATACCTAGAATTATACCCAGTCTGTCTTAAAGGTGCCACTGGACTCAAACTTTGTTATACTATATACATCTTGCCATGATACCAGGCCTAAGATTAAGAATGAGCAGCCTGCAGGCCTCAAGGAAGCCTCTCTTCTGCAAAAACCTGAGACCTTGAGTAAAGTTTGCAATAGGCACACAGTTCCCAAGTCCCTTCTGAGCTACAGAGTTGGACTGGGGGTGGTGGTGGAGTGGAAACAGACACTTATCCTTGTGCTATAGGGTTGCCCACTCCAGGTTGGGAAATTCCTGGAGATTGGGGGGGGGGGGGGAGGTGGAGCCTGGGGGGGGGGGACAGTCTTCAAGGGCACCCCCATGTAGACTACATTGCAGTAGTCTAAGTCAGAAGTCATGGGGGCTAATGTTGAAGACACAGTTGCCTCATCCCCCCAGCGCAGGTGTACAGAAATACCAGCATAGGTCCTTGGATCCTCCTGGCCTGTACTTGTTGCTAGGAATCAACTATATCCTGGCCCAGTTTCAGTTGACAAACGTGCCTTCAGGTTTGCTGGAGAGTTTAGAGCTCTCTTTCTGAGACGTCTACTCTTGGCCACCCTGTGTGGAAGGAAAGACCTCTAACTTCTGAGGACCCGACCAATGGAGCAGGGCAAACGTAGCTTAAGCCAGCCCTGCTGCTCTCCAGGTGACAACCTCCAGACAGCCGTCACTGTCGCTAAGAACTCCGGGATGGTTTCCGGCAGCAGCAGAGTGATCCTCGTGGAAGCAAGTGAACCAGAGGGATCCACCCCAGCCTCCATTACCTGGCAGCTGATGGAGGACAAGCATCCAGGCCCTGGGGAAGGGAAAGTAAGCCAGAGATTCCAGGAGGTCATTGGCTGCCCTGCGCAACCCCCTGGGATACCGTGAACTGGGGGCCTCAGGAGAACTGTGGAAGGGGGACCCGGGGCCATGCTTCTCTCCCCCCCCGCAGGGCTTCCTGGGAGGTCTGTCCTGCTGACTCCCCCTGGCCCCGGCTTGCGTGGGGAGGCGGCCAGGAGGCATTTTAGCCACGGACCCCGGGCTCATGGTGGCCTTCAGTCCGAGCTCCGAGCTTGAGCCACTTCTGCAGTTGTGGGGTGGGGGGTCACCAAGGCCTCTTGTGCAAAGTGAGAGAGTCAAAATGATGCCAGTCCCAGAGGGCAGCGATTTAAGTAGCCCCTTGGAAGATTTCCCAACCCCCCTCCCACCTTCTGACCAGGATGGAAGGACTGAGAGATCTCGATTCTGAGTTGTACCTGATGACGGGAGCGTTGGCTCTTGACATCTCAGACGCCCAACATCTATCCGTTCACGCCCTCTTCCCAAAACAGAAAGAGCTGTACCCAGAGCCCCCTCCTGCCCCTTTTCATCAGTTGCACCAGCTAGCAGCAGGCACTGCCCCATGGAGTAATTCTGACTCGGTTTCCAGGACCTCTGCATTGCCATCGAGGACAAGGTGGAGCTTGGCAGGCCGGGCACCGAGTTCCATTTTGCCATGAATGGGAAGTCCTATCAGGTCCTCACCAAGTACTTCAGCAGTTTGGTACCAAAGGTAAGTTGGGGGGGGGGACATCCTGGCCCTTTCTTCACAAGGCTTGCTTGGAAATGAGTCCCTTTGGGACGAAGCCTTTGCAAAGACAGCAGACGGGGGCTCTCTTCTTGTGTGGGATAGATGGGGGGGGGGCCTCTCTCACCACTTAAGGCACACCTGGGCTTGCGAGCTGCGAGCTGCCTGCTTACCTTTCGACAGGTACTTCTGAATGGAACTGTGTTTGCCAGGATGTCTCCAAGCCAGAAGTCCAGCCTTGTGGAAGAGTTTCAGAAGCTGAAGTAGGTTCCTTGCTGTAATGCGGTGGAGGGGGGGAGTGAGGCCCTGGGCCCCTGTGCGCCGCCTGCTTCTCTGGCTCATGCCCCTGCCCTTCTCTCGAGCCCCTTTGACCGTGGAGGCTGACCCAGGGATGACGAGGGAGGGCTTTCCCACTTTCTCATTCTCCTCTCTTGTACGTTTCTGTCTCTTCGCATGCGGGAGTGTGTGTGTGTCTGTTCCACATCTGTTTTATTCCCCCTGTTACTCCAGTTTATGTCCAGTGCAGGTTTTTATGCTGGATACAAAGTGGTGTGATATTGAATTGACCACTAGAGGGACGGAAAGCATGTGGGACGGGAAAAAAAGACCCCAAAGAGAGAGGAACTTACAAGAGAGCAGGGCCGGTGCCAGGTGGGGTTTTTTTTGCACACTAGGTGAGGCTACCTTCTGGCGCCCCCCCCTCCCCGTGCGCTCACCAGTTTTCAAACACAAATGCATCTCCTGAAGGTGGCACTCTAGGCAACCGCCTAACTCGCCTATATGGACGCGCCAGCCCTGGAAGAGAGTGGCCCCTTTAAGACCAACAAAAGTTTATTCAAGGTATGAGCTTTTGTGTACAAAAAAACTCATGCCTTGAATAAACTCTTGCTGGTCTCAAAGGAGCCGCCGGACTCAAACTTTGTTCTGCTGCTTCAGACCAACATGGCTGCCCCACCTGGATTTATGAGAGAGGGAAACGAGAATGCGGGAAAGCCCAGCGATTCCCTGGCCAGGAAGGCTGATCCTGTTGCCCGCCAGTCTTAGAAGGACTGGACCCTGGGGCCCCAGAGACGGGGCCCCACCCCTTCTCTGAAGAAGAATGAAGCCCCCGATTTTCGTCACGCACGCCACCTTTGCGCTTTGACTTCTCCCTCTAGTCCCTCTTCTGCTGGCCTTTGCAAGCTGCCTTCTTCCAGGGCTCCCATGCCTCGCGACTGCTGATTCCGCCAACCCCCGAGGCAGGTGTGAAACCACCTGACCTCCCTGAGTCCAATTGGAGCTTCTTCCTAGCAAGGATACCTCAGTCACCCCCATCTGGGCCTTTTGCCTCCAGTGAACTTAGAAGGGTGGCGCTCGGTTCAGGGGCTGCTCATGCTCAGAGGCACTCTGGTCTTCATCGCTGGTTTATTATCCTGTTTGGGGGCTCTTGGCTGGCGAGCCTGCTGAGCGTCAGTCCCCCCTCCAGCCGTCTAACACTGGCTGCCTGTCCCCTCCAGCCGCGAGGGGGTCATGTGAAGGCAGCCCCTTGCCACCTTTGGCTTCTGACCCCAGGGAAACCAGATGCTCCTCCTTGCTGTACGTGCCCAAGAGGTGGCGATGCCCTCTCTTCCTCCTTCGGGACTGTTTTTGCGTGCCAGGCTGGCAAAACAGATGTCTGTCCATGTGTGTGTGTGTGTGTGTGCAGACTTCCCTGATTCCCATGTCAAAGACGATCGGCTAATTTGTCTTCTCTCTTCTCTGCCAGTTACTACGTGGGGATGTGTGGAGACGGCGCCAATGACTGCGGGGTAGGTTGCCCTCGAACTCCGCTTTGGCTTATAAATGCTGATGCCCTCCCATGAGGGACAGGCATCAGTGGAAATTCTTTTTAAAAAGACAAATTTGCTGTTGTGTTGGTGGTGGGGAACGGATTTGTGAGAATCATTTAGAAATTAAATTGTGCATGCCACATGTTGTTTCTTAAGTCATCTCTTAGCACATTAGTTTGTTGAGCCAGTTTGATGTCGTGGTGAAGTGCGCGGACTCTGATCTGGGAGAACTGGGTTTGATTCCCCACTCCTCCACTTTCAGCTGCTGGATGACCTTGGGCAAGCCATAGTTCTGATAAGAGCTGTCCTTGAAAAAGAGCAGTTTCTGTCAGAGCTCTCTCAGCCCCACCTACCTCACAGGGTGTCTGTTGTGGGGAGGGGAAGGGAAAGGAGTTTGTAAGCCGCTCTGAGACTCCTGCGGGTAGTGAAGGGCAGGGTATAAATCCAATCTCCTCCTGCGCCTCCTCTTCTTAGAGAGCCAGTTTGGTGTCGTGGTTAAGTGCGCAGACTCTAATCTGGGAGAACCAGGTTTGATTCCCCACTCCTCCACTTGCACCTGGCTGGATGACCTTGGACAAGCCGTAGTTCCGTCAGAGCTGTTCTCTCAAAGAGCAGTCCTTGAAAGAGCTCTCTCAGCCCCAAGAAGGGTTGCCAACAGTGTTCCCTCTAAGCTGAGTTAGTGTGAGACAGCTCACACTTTTTTAGCCTCCGGCTCACACGTTTTTGTCTCAGCTCAAGAAGGATGACTCCAGAGCAAACTGATTTATGCAGCAGCCAGATCGCTCTCTCACAACTTTAGTACAGAGGCTCCCCCCCCCCCGGCTCCTTGCCTGGCCCCAGCAGAGGGCCGCTTCTGCTGCTGCTGTCTTCACGGTCTTCCCTCCTCCCCTTTGTGCGCTTCCAGGCATTGAAGATGGCGCATGCTGGGATCTCCCTCTCCGAGCAGGAGGCCTCGGTGGCGTCGCCCTTCACGTCCCAGACCCCCAACATCCAGTGCGTGCCAGAAATGATCAGGTGAGTCTGTGGTCCTGGGGGTGGCACAGCTCTCTGTGGGAGCCACCAGGGTCAGCGTGGCCTCTGAGTCGGACCAAAGACGTTCGGAGAGGCCCAGTCCAGGGGGGGCCGGGAATGGAGCTCCCAGCATGTCTCTAAAAATCGGGGTCGCTTGGACTTGTTTCTTTGTTTCATTTGACTAGCAGTAAAGCTCCTGGTAAAAGCAATACAATGAGCTCTAGAAAGATGTGCGGTATAAGGAATGCATTGGGTGGAAGCAGGTTAAGAGAGAAAGGGGGGGGCGCCGGAATTCTTCCTCCCTCCCCTTTTGTCCCCCCCCAGCTCATTTTAGATATACGTATTCATATTTTTTTGCATTGTAGAGTCTTTGGAAGGTTGGCAGCAGCCTTGGGAATGTTGACAGTGAAAGGCAGAGTACGCTGGGGGGGGGAAGTGGCG